ATCGACCCTTCGAAATACCTTACCATATAAGGCAATCTTTCGACACAGGAAATGATTGTCCTAGCACACAGCCGAATCTAGAACATTCTAGATTATTCTCGAACATTCGAGAATGCTCTAGAATATTACCAAATAAGGAAAACTCTAGAACCTTCCTTGGCCGAACTCAGGCCCTATAAAAGCGCGCCCTCGAACCGAGGCAGGCAGTCAGTAAAAATCAAGCAGTCAAACACAGTCGATCAGTTTTACCTATCATTTTGTCTAAGCAATTATTGTAAGCGTCGCGAATAATAAAATAAGTGAAAATTGTAATAGTGATATAAAAATTGTGAATAAATCAAATTTTTATATTAATCAGTGTGACGATTCTTACACGATAAACTTGCGGAATCCGCAGTTGCAGAAAAAAAGCCCCAAACAAGAGACGAACTATAAAACAATATAATAACAACATATACAATATATAAAGAATTAGTGTTAATTTTCATCCGTATTTTCTGTATCCGGTTCTATGTTCTGTACTTCTTTGTTTTCTTCTATGTCGTTTTCATTGTCATTCCACATCTGTCGAAGTGGGTTTCTATTTTGTTGTCGTCTTCCTACACGAGTGNTCGTTCGGTATCGCTGCTTTGATGATCGCAGAGTCTCTCGTATACAAGCTTGAAATTCTGCTCGGCTTGGCTTCTCAAAATTTCTGTTGAAACAAACGGCANCTGAAATACATGTAATATACAATTAATGTAGAACAATAAACATGTGACAATTAAAAAAACTAACTTTGTGGTAAATTAAATAAGATTTATTTCTATTTTATAAAGAAAAAAAACTTATTTCAATATAAAACCTGCCGATTAGAAAACAAACTATTAAACATTAAATTAGTTTTTAAATATTATCTTCAGAAGAGTTGTTAAATCAAAATTATAGAAATATTTAAATTATCATATGTACCATAAATAGCCGTAACACTTTTTGTGTTACACAGAGGTTTGGATTCATTTTCACGACCGAACCATGTACCAATGCGGCCGTGACACTATCTTTTATTGCCTCTTTAAACGAGAAATTTATCGCTTCTTTTAGGGTAAACCCCTTCCAACGTATTTTAAATACTCTACCTATAAAATNAATGTAAGTACGTTATATAGCATTCTTTGTAATGATTTATAAANATACCATTCAAATTTAAACTTACAACTTCCTCATATGTTTGTTCATCGACTTTTTGAAAATCTTCCATTTCTGATTGTGTCGATAAGGGTAACCATTTAGGCTTTTGTGAATGTCCTCGCCGATTTTGCTTCACTTGTATGCATGTCAATAAGCGTTCTATATTTTGCACGCCTTCTTGCAGCCGCCTCTTCAATTAATTCAAATGTGATTGAAACGTTTCGATTATTTTGAGAGCTTTGACATACAAAAGT